ATACGAATCTTCTCATTTCATGGGAACGACCTGAGACTGCAATCACGGCTTCAATTTTTGAATTGCAGAATAATTAGATGCACTATCTAGTGTATGTAAGATATCTATGATAGCAACCCATGCAGTTTAATAACCCAGTGTGGATTGTTGTCTGCACATATTAACTACTCTAGCTTACAAGCAGTTACATGTAATAACATGTCAACCGTCTTTTGTACAAGGTATGACGGTCTGTAAAAATATATCTCTGAGATATGTCCATTGTTTAGCATATGAAATAATCCTACCGGCCTTAGGCGGCCTACATTCATGATTCATATATTCACGATTAATTGGCCGTGTGCCTGTGTAACTGCATTTCAGGGTATACTATATTTTTCGATAATGTTCACAATTTCTTTCTTATTATATAGTTTTGCAGTTATGACTGAGTACAATCAGCATCTTAGTCATTACAAATGAACGGTGTCATCTGAAGCAGACGTATTGAACAAAAATGTCAACACATATATTTTGTCTCCCCATCAGCAGATTGTTCAGTTGTTCTGTGAACCAGTGAACATAGCCTTCAACTGCCATATAAAATTGTTATTAATTTAAATTCTACATGTCCAATGATTCATTCAAGTATTATGCATGAGTCAATTCCTGGAGTAACCATCCCCCCCCCCCGGGAATTTGCCCGATAGACAGTTCACGGGGGTGGGGAATTTGCCTTTCATATATGTGCACGGGGGCCGGGTATTGGAGGACCCCGGGGATTTGACAAATGGTTGCCCAGAATCCCACCCTGTGCCATGTAAATTTAAGTACAACTATTAAAGGTTTATGTTTTATAATATTCCATAGCAGTTTAATACTATGTTATTAAATGACTATGATTATATGCCATTAAAAGTTTAATTAACGTTTACAGTCGATTTCACGAAACGTTGACCACAAATGTTTCGAACTTCGTTGCGAAGTTCGCAAGTTCGTTGCGAAGTTCGGAAGTTCATTTTGGAATTCACAAGCCAATTTATAAACAAAGTCCCTGATTGGTCCCTGAAGTAAAATAAGCCAATCAAATGCGACCTTTGCAAATTGGTTTGTGAATCTCATTATGAACTTTTGAACTTCGCAACGAACTTGCGAACTTCGCAACAAAGTTCGGAACATTTGTGGTCAAAGTTTCGTGAAATCGACTGTAAGTTGATAATGAGATTCACAAACCAGTTCGTAAACTACGCATTTGATTGGCTTCTTTTACTTCACGGACCAATCAGGGACTTTGTTTACAAATTGGCTTGTGAATTCCAATATGAGCTTCCGAACTTCGCAACGAAGTTCGGAACATTTGTGGTCAAAGTTTCGTGAAATCGACTGTAAAATCGTCCCCGGGGTGGGGCATTTTCCACTCTCAGCTTGCCCAGGGGCCGTGCATTAGTCTTCAAGTTGTGTCCCGGCACCCGGGCATTTACACTATCATGACCAATCAAATCAAATGCCCGGGTGTGTTCCCGGGGGGGGGATGGTTACTCCTGGAATTGACTCATGCATTATTATTGTATATATATATATATATATATATATATATATATATATATATATATATATATATATATATATATATATATATATATATATATATATATATATATATATATATATATATATATATGTGTATGTATATATATGTATGTATATATATATATATATGTATATATGTATATATATGTATGTATATATATGTATGTATATATATATATATATGTATATATATATATATATGTATATATATGTATATATATATGTATATATATGTATATATATATGTATATATATGTATATATATATATATATATATGTATG